GCGCCCGTGTTCGTGGCGTCGTCGGCTGATTATTATAATAATTTATTCGATGGCGGTTTCGGTTATTCTAAGGGGCTCGATGGGTCGCCTGTTGTTAATTATAGCCAGCAGCAGCAGCAGCAGCAGCGCAGAGTATGGATTTTGATCTTTTTGATTGCCGATCGTGATGATTCCCTATTTTTGATTGAATTGTCGTTGGTTTTTGGGGGTTCTCAATGGCTTATGATCCCTTGGCATTTGAGAATTGGCAGCTAATGCGTAGAATCGTGACTGATCTGGGGTTTTGGGTTTATCAGAAATTAACTGCAGTGACATGGATGGTTTTTTTATCGATTCAGCTTTCCTAAATTATACAGGGCTGTATAATTTTGGGTAAAAATTGTAATTTTAGTTGATCCGTTTTCTTGATCAAACAATTATTAGCAGTTGTAAAGGGAAAGTTCATATGTGCATGCTTTTATCCTTTTTTTTTTCCTCGTTCTGCATAATTGGGAAAACCCCATCTTTATGCAAAGAACATTTCAAAAAAAAATATCTTTTGTTGATTCAACCCCCCCCCCCCCCCCCCCCCCTTAATCCCTTCCAGATCTTATAATGATGAGTCCCGAAGACATGCAATTTATTTGGGTTTGGTTTGATGTTTTAACTTGTTGTTTTTCCTGCAATTAACACTTGGCCTTTTGATAATCAGTGGTAAAAACAAATTGAATGAAAGATATTTCAGATAATTTGCATGAGTTCTTTTTAGTTTTCTGTAATTTGAGCAAAATTTGCATTTCTGTTGGAGTTATTCTGTGTAAACTAGTTCTTATGATTTTAAAATTTCTCCCCTCTCTTTTAGAGGAGGAACGGTTACATTCAAGGGCGGAGGAGGTTCAATGAGAGAGTTCAAAAGGCTCAAAAGGAGGATTGCATTAGGCGAACTGTATACGTGTCTGAAATTGATCAGCATGTGAGGCCTCCAACCTTGGAACCCATACCAATATTTTTCTGTTTCTTCTTCCACGCTCAGTTATCATTCATCTAAACTGAATGTTGATATCTATGATAAATTATTATTTCTATTGTTACATCAGAATCTGTTGTCCGATAATCTAAACCCTGTTGTTGGTAAATGTTAGGTTACTGAAGAGCAGCTTGCTGCATTATTCAACACTTGTGGGCAAGTAAGTTTCTCCAATTCCATCTATAGTTGTAATATATCATTTCAAGTTTGATATAAATCTGAGACATATAGTGATAGTCTAAATTTGAAGTTGCTGCTTGTTTATCATTCATCTTTTGCTGTTGCTATTTCCAAGTTATATTTTGACATACTAGCTTGATTCAGTATGTAGAGATGATTAGATCTGTTTTTTTCCCAATTAGGGGTAGCCTGATGAAATATTTTTGGAAATTTCCAGTGCTGGTATCAGTTTGCTTAATCAGTTAATTTTTTTGTCATATTGGAGGCATTGTTGATCCGTTTTTATAAATTTGAAGGTCTTTCAATTTATTTTAGTTGCTTGGCCACATTCATGCTATTAGTCCCTACAAGACAGTTGATTTTCTTTAGTTTGTATAGGTTCTGCTTATTTCCTAATTTTAGCTTGTGCCTGCTTGGTACCAAGCATACCTATTATTCAGTTAAATTTGGTGCTTGATAGTATGGTAACTCATTCTCATCCACTCATTCAATTATGAAACTCATTTGCACCCATGTGAATGCGGTCCCCCCTCCCAAATAAGTGGATGAGAATGAGTCACCTCACACTACCAAGCACCAATTTTATGCCCCCCTCTTAAATAAGTGGATAAGAATGAGCGACCTCACTCTATCAAGCATCAATTTTATGCCCCCTTGTAAATAAGTGGATGAGAATGAGCCACCTCACACTATCAAGCACCAATTTTATACTTGGTACCAAACATACCCAATTATATATATATATATAAATTGAGCTTCCATCTCATACCCATTTTTTCATTATAAATATATATATATATATATATAATATATATATATATATATATATTATAATATATAATATAAACCACTTCTATAATGTAAGACGTGACTTATGAGAAAATAAAGCCTGGGTATGTCAACTGAAGACCTTCAGAGCTATTGTCGAAAGATACCATGATAGCATGATCTCACATGTTTAAATTTCTAGAGCAAAGTAGAGACAATGCCATAGACTGGAAATATCTAATTTCTATTTGTTTGTAATTTGAAATTCGTAAAATGTTAGACTTAAACAAACATAAGATAGCTAATATGAAAAGCATAGACTAGGTCATGAACTGAAGATTCTTTTTTTATGAATACTGAGGACTAAAGCACCTGATAATGATGTGAAGTGTAAATTTGTCCATATCAGCCATAGGGTTCTGCATGTGATACAAGGGAAGGCCTTATATATTTGTGGATCTCCTGGAGGCTAAGTGAGGTTAAAGTGGCTCTGTTCTGTGACTTTTGTCCTATGGTTTCTGCCTCTTTCGTTCAAACAAATTCAAAGTGAAAAATTGTGTATATCATTATTACCTACCCCAGCGTGAAAAAAAGGGGAGACAAAATTATATGGCATGTACATGCTGCATTATCTGTTCTACGTAATAACTGGTGGTAGATGCTCATGAATATTAATATTCATCACACACACAAAACACACTCAGCAAGTATACACACAGAGAGGGAGGGAGGGAGGTACGTGCACATAGACATACATATATTCAAAGTGATTACACACACACGAACATGCATTTTCCATCCACATAATCAAGGTGATCTTTATATGCCAATATGCCATGCACATGCTACATTATCTGTTGTTTGATGGGGGAAAGGCACTCATGATTGTCAATCTTCATTTTTTTTCCCTTAGTGCAAATAGTTTTTCTGATGCTTTGCTATTTGTCATATTAATTTCTCTGATTTTTTAAATTTTATGTTGAAGGTAATTGATTGCCGCATTTGTGGTGACCCACACTCTGTTCTTCGATTTGCTTTTGTTGAGTTCGCTGATGAGCGTAAGTCATTCTTGTGGAAGTGCAGGTGCTTGTGCTTAAGCATCGTTGATCACATACTGAATAACATATATTCTTTCCATTTATGTTACAGACGGAGCAAGGGCAGCCCTCAGCCTTGGAGGGACTATGCTGGGTTTCTATCCTGTTAGAGTATTACCTTCAAAAACTGCTATATTACCCGTGAATCCTACATTTCTTCCTAGGGT